CGTCCAATTGTGTCATACCTGCGTATATTATATACACACGTTTTTATAATTTAAAGCGACAAGTGAATTATTAGCGGACTAAACATTTCGCGAGGTAGGTATCCCTTGGCACTTGACACGATTCGCCTAAATTGTAAAAAATATGATTTTAGATTTATAAACATAAGTTTGGATTTCGTGTCTTATAAATTATAATTATAATAATATATTTATATCACCCTTGTTTATGCCCGTTCGTAAAGTTAATACAGTCCAAGCCTCAAGGAGATAATATTGAAATTCGTAACATTATTATTTTTGTTATTATATATTAATATATAGGTAACAATGTAATTTTACAATGGTGCTTATATTAAGCACAGCAAGATTAGTGGGCGAGTGACCAATTAACATCAACTTGTCGTCTTTGTAGCGCCTGTCCGGTACCTACTTAAAAGTCAGTACCTATACCTATCTAGGTATTCAAAATATCAAAAATGTAGTGTTTAGTATATTATCTTAAAAATAGGCAGGTACCAAGATATATAAGTACATCTTTAAGAATTTAAAAAATGTCCAGTCAATTATGTACGGATGAAGACATTTAATTTATTTATGTTTCTAAACATAATTACAGTGGTGGACTATGCTGGCGGATCGTACCTGATAGTGGGTTGTTACTTGTTCATAATACAAAGAATAATTGGAGGAAGTGGAGGCGTGAAAATGTTTTTCCTATGAAACAACTACCTTAAATAAGTACCGCACATCAACTTTTTTTCACAATTTACGCTTATCGTTTCACACATTTTAAACGTAGGTCGTATGTGACTATATGCAAGTATAAATTATAAACTAGTCTAGCCGTCTAGGTCTTGGAGACAGGAGTCATTGGGATACCCATCCCCACTTTTGCATGAGGCGGCTGCCTCATAAAATAGCTATTCAAGCCGTCACTGAATTTAGAGGCATTTCCGTTTATGGCTATACAGAAAAATATATTAAATAAAATAGTTGTTGCATACAATTATTGACATTGTTAAAAGTTAATGTTGTCTACTAGAAAAAAAAAACTAGAAAAAAGTTATGTTTAAGTAGGTAGGTAGGTAACGAATTTTTTTTCATAAATATAAAATATAGGTACCTATGACTCTAATTATGTTACCTGTGAATTCGTTTAGTATTGTACATGGAATTATAGTGTTGGATACGTTTCGAATGTAATATCTTGCATATTATACACAATTCGACTCGGGAATAATTTTTATTAGTGTTGTTGGTTATGTCATAAACGGCTGATATCAGTGGCGTAGCCAGGGGGGCCAAGGGGGCTATAGCCCCCCTCCGCATTGACTGTGTTGACCTAAGAATTTTATTAAGATTAAAAAAAAAAAAAAAAGAAGACTTATTGTAGTTGTATACTTGCCCCCCCCCACATACAAAATTCCTGGCTACGCCACGGCAGGCTGAGATCGTTCCTCATAATATGATCGTTAATGTTTGTATATAGCGTATATTACACTCGATACGCACATCGCTCGGCCGATTCCAGCTATTCTCGTCTTCCGAGTGGGATCCGGAGGAGGATAAAAAACAAATAAATAAAAGAATAGCCATAAAATCGATTACGAAACGCAGACCAGGACGCAGCCGTAGTCTTATATTATTATAGTGGCCGCGGTAAAAATAAAGACGACGATGATAATAATAACAATAATGCAAACCGTTGGCGATTATTATAATACTCGACGGCGTATGTTGCGTATAATACAAAGGAACGCGCGCATTTCAAATAATATATGCATTATCTTTTACAACGTTCGGTTTGTTATTTTTTCCACACGCGACTCCCGTACAATATATATTAATATTATTATTATTATGTGTATGTTGTGAATTTTGGCACGTGTCCCGAGCCCGAGCCGCAGTTTTGCTCGCGATAGTCGCGTAGTTCGCGAGCCCGTCCATCACTCGCAGTGAATTTATCGTGCCGGTCCATTGTACGACGACGACGAGGCACACCATCACACCGGAATCGTCGGCTCACACATAAATCGTAATTATTATTATCGCGAACCGTCGTACTTGCTGCCATAAGGTCCAATCGTTGTCGCGTCGTCACTTCCGGTCGTCACTTCCTCCACATCCGGACCGTCGCCGTGCAGCTTCCTCAGGGGCCGCCGCCGATGCAGATCGACCGCCCACGCTCGCGCAACGACCGTATATAATATATATATATATATATATATTGTGCGCACGCGCGACGGCGATATAATAATATAGGTACGACCGCCGCCGCACGTCATTACATATTTTGTATTATAACATATTATTATTATCATCATCGGAATTATTATTGTTGTTATTGTTATTATTGACTCTGGAGCGCGCTTGTTCTGAAGACTGGACGAATAAGAGCGCCGTTCGTGCCGACCAATATTATTGCGTTTGCGAAATATATTAAGCGGAAAATGCGAAAATTGTACGTACAGGGAGGATTCGCTAAGCTCATGCTCACTCCCTTTTTTCTTCACAGTTATTCGGAATTTTATTTTTGTAATTTTTAATTAAATACTTACTGTAATCAAAGACCATATTTTCAAATACTCAAGATTTTTTTATGGCACTCAAAGAGTGTCCTCGGACCTGAAGAGATCCAAACTTCTGTTTTTCAAATGAGAACCCTGTTTTGGGGGATAATTTTTGTGGAGTTTAGAATCAGAATTCGAACGAGCAGTTATAGAGTCATTTAACTTTGTATATAGGTATACTAAGGATAATACTCCCATGATAATGCCTCGGGTTTTGAAGATTTTTGCCTATTCACGCTATATTGATTTGAATATTTTAGTAACTAATATAAATCGATCAACATTTATAATTTTTTTTTCAAATGGTCCAAGTATTATAATTAATAGATCCAATATTCAAATACTCCATCATTTTATATTTTATATGTTTGTAAACCCATTTTTAAGGTATAATAGGCATATCCTTAGTACAAATATTTTAATAACTGATAACTGGTAAACTACTAGTTTGAATTTTAAATTAGGTACATAGACATTTTCAAACAAAATATCTACTAATAAAATTTCATGAATTGGAAGGATCCACTCCAAAAATATTATACGAAATCGTTAATTATTTATTTATTCTTTTATAATTTGTAATTTATTTTAGTTATGATAAAATGATTTACGAGCATATATACAAACCCCTCGGACATTTTGTTCCTGCAAATTATTATTTTATTTTTATTTTATTTTATTTTGTAATAATAAACGGGTTTGAAACCCTTTTGAAAATGTATACATATAACATAATTACAATACATTCATAACAGAGTAAAAAGTTTGATTAAAAATAATGATAGATAAATAAAGTTAATTAGGTCGCTAAAGCTGATAAATACTAAAAAATGAAAAAAGATTAACAAATAGTAAAATTATACACAAACTCCGTGATATCTACCTATCGAAAGTCGAAACATGTATAATGCAACAACGCTTAGTTTGTATCGCCAAATAGTGAAAACTACCTATATTTGGAGGAATCGATGTTATGAAAATGCCCTCCGCAAACTCACTGGCTCCAATTTTAAATACTTATATGTATATAGGTATGTGTAGGCCGCTGAAAATCAAACAGGTGGATCGTTTAATTTCGACGGCCAACGATCGTATATTGTTTAGTTAGTATAGGTGGTGCACACAATTTCGATGATTTTATTATACATTTATGAGCAGTTTTTTGATAACTGATGACGTTCAGCGATTCAGACGAAATATTTTGAAAACGTTTCACCTCGTTTTAGTCAGATTACATTATTACAATCACATACACTTAGCAGTGGCGTGTAACATATAGGGTCCAAGTGTTGCTCAAGCAACACGTTAAAATATGGGTGGGTGGGTATTGATAGAAGAAAAATAGAAAATTTTATAGGTCGGTATAACGGTATTATGAGTGGTAGGTCACCTAAAATTATTTGAGCAACGCCAATTTTTTTATGATACACGCCACTGGAACTTAGGATATCGGAGCATGTCACCACTCTGCAGTGTGCACACGTCGTAACTGTTTACAGAATTTTAAACTGGCAACTTTATAACTTTACACTTTAGACAAGTACCTATTGAGCTTCATAAAATGTACTAGGTCATCATCGATTTGGAAAGGTACCCGTCATATCACACCAAGGGCGAGGGCGTAAAAAACCGAATATATATACCTATAATATAATATATTGAAGTACCTATTATGATTACGGGATTTCGAGTGTATCAAATTCTCAAAATCCTTCAATGTCAAAATGTCGGGTAAATTCGAAGCTATTCGGTATCATTGAATCGCTCTGTATATACGTCGTGGTGTAATATATTATATATAAATATACCTAGTTGGTACCTAACAATGTTTACCATGTAATATAGGCGTTCGCATTTCACGTTTGATATTTTTCGGCGTCTAAATGTAATAAATATAATATTATCATCATCACCATATACCTACATTGCGGTTTGTGCTGCTCGTTAAACAATGACGTACCTACATATAGACATATAGTTTTAACATTATACCTAACACGTTCGTCAGTGGTACCTGCAGCGTACCTATATCTATGTACCTACGCGACAAATATATTATTATAATAATATGTTCTGGACTCAGCGGAGGTGTACACACTGCACAGCTGCAAGCAAACAGGCACACACAAACACACACACACGTGTATATATTCACAAACCGTCGTCGCTGCTCCACCCGCAACAGCACTCCATAAAATTATATTATGATTACGATATTATGAATTATTATTATATTACATAAAATATATAATGTACTTATTATACCCATAACACTCGTCGTACAAATATCGCGCGCGTTCCTTAAATCGTTTACATATAACAATATAATAACTTTCAGTTTCCTTTTAATAAATGTTTGTACCTACAGAAGTTGCACTGTAGTGACTAGCTACGATCAGCTATAGGACGCGGTGACAGGTGGCAATCGTCATGGGCTCAAAGAAACCGAGCACGTGGTCCGTGACGCTCAAGAGAGACGGCAAGTCTCAACCGTGGGGCATCCGATTGGCCGGCGGAGCTGATCTCAACACTCCACTGATCATAACCAAGGTATGTATCGTAGAGTATACTATGTAGTACCTTCTGTGGCACCGTTTCGGGGTTAATGCCTCTAATTTAAGGATATATTTTATAAATCATAGTGGTCAGACCTTTCTCAGACGTTTAATGTTGTCGAAGTCTAATATTCTGAGTTTTGACGGGCGAGGGAGGTGTCTAAGATCGACAATTAATATTTATTAATATTGGGGTGCTCGTATGTCGATGGTTAATTTATTATTTTATTCTAACTGCACGTATTGGTATAGTTAACTATTTATTACTATCCTATTTGGCATTTGGGTTTATTGCATATTAGAATAACACTGAGTCACATGATAGTGTCAGACTACAGCGATTGTATTTTCAGTAACTATACAATTCAACAATACTCTAAGGACTGTTATGGTATAGTGTTTACAAGTACTTAGTACCTATATATAATATTATTGTTGGATAATTGTTATTTCTTTGAAAGGTAGAAGAGTATGGGTATCATCTCCCACTATGCTTTTAGACACAATAGGTAAAAAATATTTATTATATTTTTCCATTCACCCTACTGATGCTGCAAAAAAAGACCCCAAATTTAAGCCAATGTTTACGCATAACTGTTTTAAACCAATATTTTCATGAGTTATGACGAAATCGAACTATTAACATTTTTATGAAACAATATTTAGATATCGATCATTTTGCACAAGTCCAAATTGTTATAATATTTTTTTTAAAAATTAGGCCATCAAAAAACACTTCGTACAAATGGACCACAGACTTTTCCTTCGATTCTGATTGTCGTTATCAGATTTAATCATCGATAACATACATTTTTTTAGAACAGTATTCCGATACATTCCGTAAATTGTAATATATACTATAGGTGCCTACTGTTGTACTATGCTATACATATAGGCTGACTTAAGGGTGGGTACAGGGACAGAGGCTATTTCCACTGTCAGCTTTTGACAAAACGGTTTATATTTGCACTTATCAGTGGGTATACAATTTAGCCGCATCCGTGTTGGCTGTAATTATTAATATTGCGATACGTTGTATTTTTTTTCTGTTTTCCAAAGTTCGATTATTGTTTACTAACTACCTCCATAAATACCACAACATTTAAATCGTTTTCCGGGTTCGTCTACTACAGCCTCAAACGTTTTAACTTTTAACTGTACCATCTATTTACAGGTTAAATATTTATAGGTAAAGGTATACATTTACTTTTTTTTATTCATTACCTGTATATATTATATGTTATAAGTACCTATAATTATAAGATGTATAGTAAAATATATAAAATAAAATAGTTTGTTAAAATTGTTCTATAATTTTTAAAATTATAATTCTTCATACAAACCTAGGAAACCCATGCTACAAGGAAAAAGACAAATTAAAACGTTTAATGTATTTGAGCCAAATTTTGTAACTTCAGAATTTTCAGTCGTCTTATTTTTAATACTTCGTAACAGAAGATGCCTATACTTGCCAACATTTAACTATTTAAAAATACATATGTGAGCTTTAATGATTTTAGGCTGAAGTCATTAGTTTAATCGTTGAAATGGAAACGTGTATAAAGATGTGATTTTTATGACGTTATCATTGCATTATTATATTGTGCAAAACTAATTTTGGTACATATTATAATGATATTCAAATTTTTGGTTAAAAGTTTACTATAAAAAAAGCTGATGTCTCTGATTTTGAGTGTTCGAAATTAAATATAATAGTACCTCGTAGAATATTAGCTAAGGAGTTGGTAAGAGTATGACTGTTTGTTTTTTTAACGAATTATTATGTTACTGTAGCCCGTATAGGTGCAATGCTTCTATGTGTGTTTTTTTTTAAAGCAGACATTTTGGCTTGGACTTCATACAATGTCATTGTAATTTGTCTCGGATAGTGTTGTATCGAGTTACAAACAACTTACTGTTGAAAAGATAATTATACGTATTTTAATATTTTGCCCGTTTATCGATCTTTGCTGTATAAACTGCATCATGGCAAGTGGCGCGGCGGGTCCGCCGGGATGGCCAAGAGATCCTCTCACAACACACAAACATCATTACCCCTTAGTTATAAGGGCATCAGCGGCGTACGCAGGGGTAGGGTTTTGGTGTTCTGACCCCCCCCCCCCCCGAAATTCTTTTTTCTAAAAAAATGTCTTATTTACCACCATTTCGATACACACAGATCATTTTTAATAGATATAAAATAAATTGTTGAATATGATATAAACGTCGATGTTAATGGTTTCAGTTTTTTGTTGGCTGATTTAGAACATATCTAAACGTCTGCCATAATCGATGGTGTATCATCGTTCATCGATTATTACCACGTTTATGACGGTCCGAAAAGGCTCTATAGATGACCGCTTAAACACTGTAAATGTAGACTTAATTTGAGACAAACTATAATTTGTTATATAAAAACTGTTTAGAAAAAAATAATTCAAATTATTTAATCAGTTAAAACCCTAACCGAACTTAAATCCTGCGTACGCTACTTTAAGGGCTAGATTTTCTTTTATAAGTAATAGCGTTGTCTTAAGAGTTAATATTTATTTCAGGATTCACCTATAAGCTATAAGTTCATTGAAAATCTCAAGTTAAAAGTTTTTAGTGGGCCTTATACATTTCAAACTCGTTATTAACAGTATATAGGTATACTGATGGAATGTAGTTTGCTGTATTATATTTATAATAATAACGGTAAACTCGTAAATATAATTTTATATTTTTGACATCGGTCAAAAACAGTCCTTTAGGTCACACTTTAATATAGGCACATAATATTACTCTGTACAGTATTATTTTACTTCCGTATAAACTACGCAGGTATATACCTATATTGATATTTTAATGTATAGTACAAATATGTAAAATACATGCAGTCTATAGTTAAAATTATTAAACTATATTATACTACCTATATAGACCCGTTAGTACGTCCAGCTTACCGCGCGTTGCCGTTAATTTCTGCATGTGCAGTATTAGGTATATATCTATGGCGTTATTATAAATGCATGTGAGCACAGTCGATATATAGGTTAGGTAAATGTCTCGGCATAATGTTTGCGTGTCTGTTGAACGACAACAACTTCAGGGAGCAGCCAGCACAAAGGTACACGAATACATATGGGCTGAAATACAATTTTAATTTAATGGGTAGGTCGTAGGTAGGACATATATTTGGTCATATTACATGTAAGGTTCTACAGCACATATCTACGCGTGTTGTTCTGAAACGTTGAACTTTAGTTTACTTATAACACACACTGCGAACAATAATTTTGGTGTATATAATGTATATGCGGCTGCTTGTGTAGAACAGGGGTCTCCAAACTTTTTTATTCAAGGGCCACAAAAAAAATCAAATGCTCTTAGCGGGCCAAAAGTTTATTAACACATATAATTTTTAATTTTATGATAATATAGGTACCTACCTATATAAATAATATGTTTACTTTATATTTTTGTATAATAAATATTGTTTACTTTACAATATACTTAAATAAAAATAAATAGGTATAAATATAATATAATATAAATACATTTTTGAAATAATTTTTTTATCTATATTTACATATGCGGGCCACGGGCCGGTTAAAACTTGTTGGCGGGCCGTATCCGGCCCGCGGGCCGTAGTTTGGAGACCCCTGGTGTAGAACATTAGTCACATTACCTACCTACAACCAGTATAATATATAAGCAAACAAATTCCTTGATCGTGTCGTCTGTTTTCGTCGTATTTATCGCCCCCGGGCGGCTATGCGTATTATGGTATACAAAATAATATTAACTTACAATTACGGTATATTAAATCAGACAAACAAGCAAATTCTCTTGAAATTTGTTGTAATTTTATTTTCACGCTTCCGTTTTATGTATATAGGTCTACGCCAGATCACCCAGTGAAAGTAGCCTGAGAGTGGGTGACATCATACGGAAAATCGAGGTGTACGACGCTCGAGACTTGAGACATTTGGACGCTCAAAATTTGTTCGGCAACGCCGACCAGTCGTTAACTTTAGTCATCCAAAGGTACTACGAATAGATACCTACATAAGTATATTATTATAATATTATATTTAGACGATCACTGCTGATATAGATAATAAACTAGGTTGCTAAAGGTTGTATATGCTTATATTATTTAAATGAATGAAACCGTCTTTTTCCGCCATCTTTGTGGAAACCAAAGGATTATCTGAAATTACAAATGGATTTATATAAATCGATATTAATAATATATTATATAAATGTATAATGCATTAATCTCATAAACTAGGTACCTATAGGTACTGGATCGAATTCAATACAAGTTCTGGTACCTATGTTGAAGTTTATTCTTTCAACCCCTATATAATAGATTGGTAAGGATGGCTCACACATACATTTTGTTTTAGCTAAAAAAAATCGAATAATTTTTAGGGTTCCGTACGGTAAAACGGGACCCTATTACTAAGGCTCCGCTGTCCGTCCGTCACCAGGCTGTATCTCATGAACCATGAAAGTTAGAAAGTTTAAATTTTCACAGATTACCTATTTCTGTTGCCGTTATAACAACAAATACTAAAAATCCTATAATATATAATATAGGCAGTGTGGCCAACATGTTTACAGATGATGGTGCGGAACCCTTTGTGTGAGCGAGTCCGACTCGCACTTGGCCGGTTTTTTGTTTTTATAATTTATACAGGCCAGTTGCCATTGGTTACAGAAATAAAATTGAAAAATTTGTTCAGACTAGCCAGACCGTGTAGCTATGGATTTTTTTTTAATAAAAGAAAATAGTATTTAAAATACTTGACCAATTTTGACAGAACTTTCAGATACGGGTTTTAGAGATGTCAGAAAAGTTTATAGAGTAGTTTGAACTACGTTTAAAATATACCAAGTGTTATATTTAATCTCGGTCAAATTAGTTCTCAAATCGAGATACACTAGAAACGATTTTCCTGTCAACTGAGGTAGGTACACCGTACACTAAAAGTCTAAATAGAAATAGAAACACCGATATAGTTAATTTGTACCGTTTGTTCATTTTTTCCAGGGAGTAGTCGACTTAGTATAATTTATATACCTAAGCTAGCTGTCCCGCCCTACGTTGTCCAGGCCAAAAATGTTTATTTTTAATAAATATATTTGTACAAAATAAATAAATATATTTGTACAAATCTATACAAAATGTATATGTCATAATTCTTCCAATTATAATATTAATATAGTATGTAACTAATTGTAATGACAAAAAATCATGTTTGAGTTACCCTTTAGCTATCTATTCTTTTATATAGCCTATATAGGAGTTTAATAATATTAATCTATTAACACCCTCTAAGTTTCAAGTACTTAATCTATTTATATAACTTTTATTAAAAATGGCCCAGTCGTTTGTACTTCAGATGAACCAACATCCAATTTTAGTTTCCCTCGTGAGAAAATGAAAAAATACAAAATGTAGATAATATAAGTGTATCGTTCGGTTTTGGTGTACCTACCTACGACCTACCTTAGTTCACACCAAATTTGCGTCGCTATTGCGAACTAATTCGACTAAGATAGATGAATAATTAATCTGTGGTGGATTGGATATAGCACTTGGTATAAACCGAACGTGGTTTAAACTACCCTTTAAGCATTCCTGATATCTCCAAGAACAATTTTAAATGTTCACAAAGTCGGTTAAGTAGTTTTTGAGTACCTACCTATATAATAGCTACAAAATTTCTATTTTAAATTTCTACACAATTTCTGTATTAATATACATTCAACTCTTATATTTGTTTTAAGATATAATTTATTTATTCAAAACCATAAATGTGACGATTTGATGGATGCGTTTACCTCATCTACCAGAGTAACTAATGGCTACCATTTATAAACAAAAATTGTCATCGTAATCTAAAAATCCTGGTTTGAGCACCTCTCCGGATTGGATCTTCCGGTTCCAATCGTGAAACTAAACCATCCAGGGAACACTCAAAGACACGAAAAAATCGGTCCAGCAGTATAAGAGGAATTCAGTGACATACACAAGGACAGAAGAAATATAATATAATATAATAAAGATATAATAGACTAGCTGATCACGTCCATTGTGTCGCGCGTAAAAATGGCAACTCTTAAAAATTCTTTTGATTGTTCAACTCCTTTTAAGTGTAACTCGCTGCAGTAACCTTGGTAGGCAATCCGACTATGTCGAATCGCGGACAAAATGCAACTCATCTACGTTGGTAGGCAATGTTCAAAAATTCGATTTGATACATGCTTGTATCTGATCTGCTCGAATAACCAATGGCAACCAATCATAATCACATACTAATTTCTACTAATTATTTCTAATATAACCAATAGCAACCATTTATAAATAAAAATTGCCACCATAAATCTAAAAATCCTCGTTTGAGCATCTCTGCGAGTGGTGGTAGGAGAGTGAAAAATACTTAAGGCCTATTCTCATACCTACAAAATATACAACAAAAATTTCATCCTAATCGGTCCAGCTGTTACGGAGGTATTCGAACACAACATCGTGACAACGAGATTTTTATATATTACTAGCTGTCACCCCCGTGCTCGGCCCGCGTGGATAGTTGTTTGCAAATTGTGGGGCTGTTTAGTGGCTTTTTTATGATGATATAGACAAATCGCAGACTGTCTAGAATGTACTGTGATATAAAACCTATAATTTCCATAAAAATGGCGGGTATTGACTTCACCGATCATCACCATATTTATATTTATGCAGTAGTTGATAATATACCTGCACAATAGTCAATAATATTACGAATCAAGCCGATATTTATCACGGCCGTGTCTACTCGATCCATTATATCATTGTAGTTTATCTTTACCGTTCACGGTGACATAATTAAAATTAAAATTATGATTTATATTATAATATATTATCATATCGCAGGGATGCTCCTCAGTTTAACGGCAGCAGCACCAACAGCAGCCCAATTCCGGTGGCCAATAACCATCATCAGCAGCAGAATGCCACCGCTCGACCAATCGGAAACGGTCTTTACGGTTACGAGAGATCAGTCCAGTCTCCCGTCAACAATTTCTGCCGTTTTCCGCCGTCGCTGGTCGACAGTCCGTCTCCGTGCGACTGGGACGAGGCGCACGAACAGGTGGCGCTCGACCAACAGGTGAGAGCGATGATATTCTATACTGCAAAGTAGAATACAATATATTGTTATTATTATTTATCAACTCCAACCAGGTACTTTAGTGTCTTGCGTACCATCGAATCGAATGAACCTGCGCAACCGTGGTGGTGCGAATAGGTATAGTTGTGTGAGTCCCACGGGATTCAAGTTACCAAAACTCATATTGGGGGGGGGGTGGATCATCTTACAAAATTAAGAGAAAATTAATCATCTTAAAAAAATGAATATATTTCATACCTAGTTTTTTTTTTGTGATACAATAAGTACTAAGTAGGTTGTAACTTGTAGGTATTACACTATTACCGCAGTTATATATAATACCTATAATCAAGCTACCTTATTGTAACGTCGAGATGTATACGATTTTACCTACTGAGTATATGATAATAAATAGATGCTGTGTCGATACAAAATACTTTTTTTCAAATAAGAACCCCGTTTTACTTTAAATTATTCTGCCGATAATTTTTTTGAAAATGTCCATGAACCTTAATCAAAATTTAAACGTGAAGTTTCTTACTTATTCAACTTTATGTAGTTATATATAACATGAAACAATAATTATATTATTATTTATTTTGTATATCCCATATATTAGAAAATCTTGAATTTTATTTGGTAACACGACTAACACCAGATTATGTATGATGGGCCCGGCTTCAGCCTATACCTTTTAGGGTCCCAATTGGCAATTACTAAATGTCAAGCATATCGACAGCGACCCTTCGCCTGCGTAATAATATTATTATAGCCTATAGTTTTACATATAATATTATAAAAATATGAACAATGCAATGAAATTCTACAAAGCACAACCTGCTGCAGTTTTGCAGTTCATAAATAAATTTAAAACTCTTAAATTATTGCGAATGAGTGAAAGAGAGACGGATAGATGGAATGAGAATGAGAGAAAAAGGTGGTACGGTTGAGATTGTGTAAACACCGTCGAAAAAAAACATACATGTTTGACGTGCCGCTAATGTCGAAAGTTATTTTAGAGTGATGAAAACATGTTCCAAGGTAAAGAATTAAAAATTTTAAAAAACAAATTCACGAAAACCATTTAATAACATAATGTACGTTCCGGTTGTTGTCGGGGGGGGGAGTATATAGTACAGAAATAGCCCATCCTTTAATTTAGGGTAATTTCACGTTCCATAAAATTACGCGTTCCTCGTCATCCTAATATTTTATGATATACCTATATATATAGGTACCTATATATTCAAGGTGATTCTTTTAAAGGTGAACACTTATTTTCTCGTTTTGTACTGGGTAACGTTTTTGGGAATCTTTTTTATATAAACTGAAGTCGTTGCAAAACATAATTTTTGGAAAAACATCAAAAGCAATTTTGCTGATAATTTTAATATATATATAATTAATGTAATTTTGAACCAGTAGTTAAGTACCTATCATAAAAAGTAAAAATACCTAAAAAAATTAATAATAAAATAACTATTTTTTCAAAAATATTGTTTGGGATACAAATTAAAATTATGTAATAAAAATAATTTCAAAAACATTCATTTGCTTTTCGATACAATGAATGACCATGCTGTATATAATGCGCACTCACACTTCCCTCGGGTTAAAATTCCATTGCAGATGTCATGAATAATAATTTATATTAATAATTTACTCACGCGCAGCATCAGTAGGTACTGTATTATTTGATCTATAAGTAACTTCGGTCATGTAAAAATTAAATATACGACATACGGTTATGCTGAAAAATAATTGGATTTTTTTTTAATTTGACCATTTTGATCGAGGAATAATTGTTACAAGCCTGCATACAATGGCTTTGGAGTTCAATTACCCTGTAAAATAAACAACAGCTGAATATTGAACACGTAACTATATTATTAAAGTGTAAGTAGAGCCAGCAAAGGTAAACAGTAAAATAATTTCCTAATTTATTGTGCATTCTAATGTTGGTTTAAACCATTTTGTGATGCCAAACAGCCAAACATAATAGTGTTTGATGAACATACATTTACCATTTTATACGTTTTTACCTGTTAAACCTTGATCGTTGTACGCCTTATAATATTTGATTTTTTTTAACATCGAATAATTTACGGGTTGGTTTAATTTCCCATATTGGAAATTTATTATTTGAACGTTTTGCAGGTACCTAATATATTAATAATACAATTATTAATATGCCTAAAAAACAATTTGAAAAAAAAATTACTTTTCATATGTCCTTAAAGTAGGTAGATACCCGTTATCATTATTTCGATGGTCAAAATAATTACAAACATCGAATTAAAATCTCATATTTGTCGTTGTCTGGTTTTACGATTCAATAAATTCGGAAAAAATATTGAGATATTATAAGTCTGTGAATTATGTTAATGTTAGGTATAGTCGAAAAAAAGAATATTTATACTAATCCGACCTGCAGTCTATTCAGTCTTACATATTATTTATAATCACTTTACTTCATGGTTGTTATTCAATATACTTTTGAATAACAATGGTAATAAATATATTTTGTCGTTAAACAAAATATGAATAAACTAAAGTGGAGCTTGAAAAATATACATCATTATTAGAATTTGTAATTTTATTTTGGCACGTACTGAGCTAAAGGTCGTTTAAGCAGTTAGAACACGTCTAAAAATATCTTTTTAGTTTTATTTTCTATGAACTTAATAATAAACCGTTTGTATATTTAATCGGCTTGACATTTTTAATCAAAACCTGTGCTTTTTTTCATACAATTTTAATTACTTTGAATTTTTTTTTATCGCTATATCCGAATCAGTATAATATCGTAATTATCAGTACTATTATGTGCATGCGGTGCATCAAAACACAGTTGTCGGTATGGAACTGTTAATGACAACATAATATTATAATGTGACCTACTGGCAATTATTGGCGAGTTGCAGAACGATTTAAACACAATCGAAATAATTGGCAACGAACTAAAGTTCTGTGATACGTTGCGTCATCAATTATTTAGTCTACCTAGTCATTTGTCATAGTTCAATAAAACTATCTTGGGATTAACCACGGGGTATATTCGACGACGATATTCGCGATTGCTGATGTCGTCGTGCCTATAATTAAAAAAAAATTGAACAAAAACGCAACAGTATATATTTTAAAACACAATCAAATTCTTCTTGGCTAATCCTATCATTTACTGAGTGATTTGATATTGTGATAGGCGGTGTAACTATATGTTATATTATAATATACTATCAAAGGTTTTTTTACATGAACAGTGTTTTCAATTCAAATCAATAATAATATTATAGGGCTGGCAGTCGCGGGTTCGCCTCTCGACCACTGGGCGGCATTTTTCTCCGGGCAAGTCACGGTGTCCGGAGTACAAGTGCCGCCATCCCCCAACCCGGGGCATGGCAGAAACCTACGGGTGCCCCAATAAAAATTCTGCCACCACTAACACACACGTGTACCAACCTACCCAATCTAAAAACCTACAGTTCCCTACCAACACCCAATGGCCTATGTTGCCGCGGGTTATCCAATAAAAAAAAAAAAAAATATTATAGGTATACATTTATACCTGCACATACGGTGGGTTATTGAAATCCCTCAAAATTACGCGTAAGTGTGATGTGGATTATCTAAACAATAATAATATACCTATATGACGTCTTTTGAATGTTTATGAATACTCACTTTTGACATTTCTTCGAGATCGATTTGCCCACGTTTCGAAAAATAAAAAACGAAACTGAAATAAAAATCGTGGTGTGAACGCATTGTGTAGCGAGTGTCTCATAATCGTGACTCCACACGCCGGTGGTCCGCCAATCTCGCGGGACGACCGTAGTCATATTTAGTTCAACTTTCCAAGACCAATATTTTTAAATTTGGAAGGGATGTGATGAGTTACATACGAACGTATTATAATATGCTCTCGCAAGCCTTGGGTTAAATAGTCCAATGGAACAACATGTTTCGTGTCGCAAAACAAAATATTACATGAATAATTATGATGAAATTTATTTTGTTGAATTATTTTGGATATGAACCAAAAACACACAGGGTTATTTTTAAACCCCTTTCCGCGGTAAGGTCTCTGACTAATATAAAATGTTTAAATACCTAGACTAGAATACCTTCTATATATATATAGAAAAATAATTCAAACGAAATTTTGATAAAATTGAAAATTTAGCCAACTAGAAAACCTTAAGCCCCATAGTGTTCTATGTTTATTCGATTATTATTAACAACACACTGTATTTAAATATAAATGATTTACTAAAATTCTATACAAATTAACGTATAGCATGTTTATACTAAATCAAGGAAATTATTATAAATTATGATAATTATTTATGAAAATATAATATTTAATATAAACTATTTCTCAACTGGGTTACTTATTTATTTTAAATAATAAAAACGGTTTGAGTTATCTACGAAAATTAAGTGTAATTAATCGTGGTGCCACATTATACAATTGTTACCCTTACGGGTAAAGTTGAAAACCATATTTCAGTTTTGCAATGATAATAATATTGATATTTTAAAGATGTGGAAAATACCTTCTCAAATTTGTAAAATCTTTAATACAGAATTTAAGAAGTCCTAGATTTAATATTATGTAATGAGTTATATTTTTATATGTATAAAATATGAATATACCTAGTCATCTAGATCAATTTAATCGATACATATCATCACTATATTACTTTATATACTATGTTTATTGTTTATATAAAATATTATCTATACAATTATATAGTACATAAGTGCCGTACAATACATAATATTTTTTTCGTAAAAGTCACACCCTTACCACTTACTAGTCACCAATATTAGATATGGAATTATAAAAAAATTACCAACCATATACATATTCATAGGCTCAAATCCATTAAAATTTCTGAGAGTTCCCTAACATTTTTAACATCAATGTGAGGGGGGGATTCGATCCCACACAACTAAATATGTATATTAGTTATGTATACTAAACTGTATATTTATGGAAAAGCTAATGAGATATTTGGGGGGGGGGGGGTTAGTACCCCTGCGATTTGAGCCCATGTACATATTATTAATATTCAAAATGATATTGTTTTGAAAAAAATCATTAAATCCGTGTCAGGGTCTGCGGATCGAGTAATAAACTAATAAATAGTAATCCCGTTAAAAATAACTATATAATATTATTATTATCGCCGCTCGACACGAGAATAATTATATCAACGCTCGTCCTCGAAATTGATAGTAAATAAAAATTTCGAGGAATGTCGTGGAAATTTGTATAGTATCAAATTAAAATCGCTCGTGCATAATAATAATATAGTCTCCTCCTAGCCCATGGAAAAACGTCCGGTTGTTAATTTTAGAAGACCCTCGTAAGTACCCCGCGGAGTCTGCCAAGCCGCGTGGGCGATTCCCACACTATATGTTAACTGGTACACACTCACCAAGACGAAGCTCGCAGTCGAAGGGAAACCGTTGAAACCGAAAGCAACCAACAATATCATCATAATACGGCCCAAGTTTTTATCTGTGAATAAACCTACACACACACACACACACACACACACACACACACACACACACACACACATATATATATATATATATTATAATATATTATAATATAATTAATTTCTCCTTTGAAAAAAATTATAATAATAAACTGTCATAATGATGATGTCTCACGTTGATCCGGAACAAAACGCTTACGAGCCCGAAAACGCCCTGCTGTGGGTAAGTGTCGAAAGTTATAGCATCGGTATCGGTACATACCGTTTGTTTCACAATGTATTACTTCTGCGTTAACGATCGTGTGGTATATGAAAATATCTAACATTATGTAGCGGACGCGTCAAAAAAATTGTATGGAAATGTACGATCGATACATATTGATACACGTTCGAAACGCTTTCATAATATGTCTCCTGTTCGGTCGGTGTCTTTTTCACGGGCAGTAATATGTTTTATTGCGCTTTTAGCCGTACAGAACGAACCCGTTGGTGTTGCCCGGAGCCAAGGTCAAGAGGGATCCGCCCAAGACCGTGTCATACTTACGCCACCACCCGAATCCGATGATGAGAGCGCATCCGTCACACCATGATCAACCCATGGACACGTTGATGAAACAAAAGGTAAGCCATAAGTCCACTGTCGAGTCCATACGGGATTGTATATATATATATGTATACATAATTGATAGGTCACGGACACGGTGTTGCAACGGATAAGCAGCGAGGAGGCTAAGACAAGACCCGGTAGACAGGTTAGGGATTCGATAAAATATATATATTACGAGACTTTTCTGTGTCGTCCTGCTTGAAGTGTACTTGTGTTCGTCTAAAATAAATTATGCCTATTTTGTGATAATATTATATAGGTATACGATATAATGTAGTATCTATCTATACGGTATTTGATTATTACAAGTCATAACGAAAACGGTTTAAAAATTATAAACCCAAGCGTGTTGTACTGTGTCAGTCGCATGGGCTTCTGCCTATAAAAAAAAATATGGGCTTTGGGGATTTCGCTTGCCTCGTTCATAAAATTTGAACTTTGGTTTTAGCAAAAACTTAGAATTATTTTTTTTAGGTGGTACACAAACAGTTCAACTCGCCAATCGGTCTTTACTCTGAGGAAAACATCGCTCACTCAATCAAATCGCAAACAGGATACACTCCGTAAGTTTTTGAAAATTATTATGTACTATTATTTCATTAGGTTTGAGATAAAAGCATTATAGTAGATTTTCGCTACAATATTATAATTATTATTACTCATGTTGGCAACGAGCTAGATAGTGAATAATCAGTGAATAATATCTTTGACCTTGAACATGTTGCCACAGCAATTGATCACAAATTTCGAAAAAAAAAATGTATTCGCGAGAGGTTTTGTTTACACACTATACGCGTATAGTCTACTTCTATTAATACACTGCACTAGAGAACTGGCCCAGTGAATTTTATCCGCCCGGTGTCTCTATTTTTGTTCCGTCTGACCTAAATTGACCGTAACAAACATTTCGACGGTCTCGTATAATATACTGTTCGAAACCAAAACGTTCGGTTGGTCAGTAGTTATATATAGTCAAAGTTAACGACCAAAGTGCAACCATTTAATTGTGTAAACTAATGTTTAGGGAAGAGGAAGAAGAGAAGTACGGTCGTTTGAGGTAAATAGATGCATGAAGCATGTGCGAGGTAAAACGCATTTTGGCAAGGGAATGTTATTAGCCGGCATGTGACTTAGTTAAATACTAAGTTAAACTTAGGTTTACATCAACTCGTAGAAACGCCATTATTTGCATATTGCTCTACTATAATATTATAATAATATAGAAACCAAAGGAAATAATCGAAAATGCTTTTTGATAGTTATTATGTTTAGTGTCTTAGTGGTCTCTTTCTAAACACGGCATATGGTAGTCGGACTAATGACTTTGCTTATTTTATGACCAAAGAACTCGTACTGCATATCTAATCTCAGTATTTTCATTGACCTATCCTTCCTGGAACACAAAACCAAACTCAAACACAACCATCCATCCTAGTAAATTCCGCTATTAATCCTGCACATATCTATCTATATGAATACTGACTAACACAATTTATTGTAATGAAAAAAAAAAATCTAACATTTCTTCTGTTTTTCTTTTTCTTTTGACTTAAACTATATTATTCTTCTTCACACATTTCTTTACTAACACCTTCCCCCTCGGAACTTTCCCCCCTTTTTCTGACCACGACATATAGGCACAAGAAGACTGTGCAGTACGATCCAGCTAAATCTGAAACCTACAAGGCGATTCAAGAATCAGAACATGGAGACTTCCACGCTCAAGAGATATCGAAGCCAGTGCAACCAAAAGTGTTCACGCCTGTCCAAGGAACGGTAAAAGTAAGTCTGATCGTTCTACCGTTTATTATTTTCTAATATTTTTTTTTTTTTTTTTGTGTCATAGAAAGCTCCGATTAGCAACGGCCATGGACATCCAAATCATAATGTAAGTATTCAGGCATTTAGCATTTACTTATTGAAATATTTAAGGGAATATTGTTAGAATATTTTGTTCATCGCTATAAATAAATAAATATATGATTGATAATAATAAATAATAAATATTATTATGATTTTTTATTTCAGAAGTTGTCAGCTCCCTATCATCCAAATCCAGGAGTAAGTACATATATTATTTATTAATTATTTTAAACTATTTGGTAATTAATATATTACATTTCTATTTTTACTGACTGAATATATTGTCTACAATAATACCAGAGCCAATAATTTATTTAACTATAATAGTTTTGGGGATATATTTTTATAGAAATAAATCATGATTAAATTAATAGTTACTTGTTAATTATTTTAATTTTGATTTTAAAAGTCTTAACTTTATTCACTATTTATAATTGATTTAGTTTTAATTATTCAATGATTAATATGATTTTGACCTAACTATTTTTTTATTTAAAAAGGCGTAATACAATATTGATATTAATAATCGATTAACATATTGTATTTGATTATCTATAGTTTTTAGTTATTTTTATTACTTTGGATTACTTAAAATTATATTAATTAAAACACTAGTGTAAATATCACGCTGAACAAACAATTTTAGAAAAACACATATCCATAAAATGTATTTCTCAACCAAAATCTGACTACTTGCATAATATGTTTAAATACAATTATTCAGTTGACGATTTATCATCTTCCACGAGAACGAATGAATATTTTAGTTTTTTAATAATTGAAAATTGTGTATACAGTTTTGATAATAAGTATAATGATTTTATTTATTTTTTCTCCGTAGCGTGTATCTCCACAACCACATCCAACTGCTCCACACCCAAATGTAAGTGTTAATGATTTAGTTTTTACAGTAGAAAAAATTGGTTTAATCGTGTGGTGGTTGTATATAGGCCAATTACGTTTCCACTGATGAAATCCATCAAAGTGGCAGTTTCAAGCGCTTGATGCACATGGTTATGACCGAAAACTAAATGTGAAACCAAAATAAATAAATAAACTATTCAATTATTGTATTTAAATTTTAAAAGTAAGACAGAAATGTTAGAAAGGAGATGTGTATTATTTAAATCATTTAACATTTTTATACTTTCATCTGTATATATTTATATAAATTGTTATCGACAATATTAATTTATTATTGCGCACCTACTGTGACTAATATATAATAGTTTAATGTACCTACGTAATAACAAACGTAATTTATTATTATTATTATTTTTATTATTATTATTGTTATTGTTATTATTATACGCAATTTATTTGAAAAATTGTTGAGTGTAGAATCTAGTCACACTTATAAAAAAAAATTAGACTAACAATCTGAATATTATAAATTTATGTTATTTTCAGATATTATATAATCTGTAATGTTTAAAAAATTAAATAGATTAATTATTTTATTTATCATATCATAATAATATATGTTTTATTGATTTATTTTTTAGTAAGTATAGGATTTAAAAATTCCAGTAGACGGGAAAAAATATGGAATGAAAAATAGGATTATTTTAGAGATCATACTTAGCTTTTAGGTTTGAATAACAGGATCAATATTATTGAGTTGAAGATTAAATAGTGTAGGTACACCACACTAGCTCATCAGTTTCGGCTGTTGTAAACATTTACGAAAAGGACATTTTAATTTTGAAACTTTTACAATTTCAAATCAAGATTAAATATTTAATTATACTATAATATGATTTGGAATTTTAATTAGGTAGTATTAGTTTCGACCACCTAAACACATCATAATAATGTTATAGGTAAATTATTATAAATTAATAATCAGTTTTGGGAATCGATTCCGATTCATGTATGAAAATTAAATATCTGGTATTATTTGTATGGCATATTATTATGTGTTGAATATTTATTTATGTGAATTTTGTCTAATCAATGATAAAATATTATAAGCTAAAATGAAATTAAAAATAAATCATAATTTTAAGTACCTCTTTTTTTTATTTTATACTGAAATTCGATATTATATAGGCAATGACTTATTAGATGTAAGATTTTGAAGACTTGGGTGTAAACAACAAATAAGATAATAATCATAAAAATATAAACTAACGATATTTTAAATTAAAAAATACGCGACCAAAAAACTGACACGTATTGCGTCCAATAAATTTGATTTGATAATTAAAGATTTAACTTTATAAACTATTCTATTATTATCCAAAAATCCTTCTTGATGGGAATAATATGTACAAGTTTTTTTTCTACATTACCCGTTTGCAAGACAGATGGGGGTCAGACGTAGTGACGCCCTATTAAAATGGAACGTAATGACTCGTGGTCTCTGGAGTCAAGACGAAATTTTACTTTTTACATTATTCTATGGGTCGAGCCAAATTAAAAAGCCAACAGGCATCATTACGTTTTCTCGCACAGAAGACTTCACGCTGAAGTCATTGGACTATATTTCAATAAGACGTTTGTCGGTTTATAAAAGGCTATATTTATACAAGTCGAATAGGAGCATACTGACCTCCTAAGCCGAAAGGCAGCAACTGACCATGTAATATAGTTTAGGGGAAAATTACTTTCTCTGAATCATATTTTTATTTAACAAAATTATTTACTAAATTAATGATTCTCAAATGATTTATTCAATAGATTTCAATAAATCGTATGAACTAACTGTATTGTGAATTTGAACACCTCAAAATGTATATACCGTAGGTACTGGTACTTAAGTTGGGCCATAGCCCATAGATATTATGTGTTTACCGAGATAAACAAAGTATGAGCATGTACAGTGTAATTAACTTTTTTTTTTACCCAACTGACTAGTAAAATAATAAACTTGTTTTTAAATTATAATAATACGTAATAAAATATTATAAAATATTATAATATATTAATATTCTTAGAGTTCTTAAAGCTTGTAATTTTTAACAGACAAAGGTTTTTTCAATAAATCTTTTAGGAAAACCTTAACTTTAATAACTTAAGTTTTATTATTTATAAAACCCTAAAACTTTTAAGAACATATTACAATATTAAGACTTAAATTAAATTCAGTATAACACGTCTGTAAATTAACTACGAAGAACTGATGAAGTGCCTATGCAGTTCATCACCAACTCGATCTTTATTGATTTCATCAATTTCATGCAGTCGATTGTCAATATTGTGTTTTACTTAGATGTACTTAGATATCTATAAATTATGCGATTCTATATGAGTTTAATATTTATTGGATGAAAAAAATTCAATATCTTATGATTTAATCATTTTTTTCATTCAAGTCACATTTATTATCAGTTCTCTGGATAAACAACGACGATTATTCGTGATAAAATGCGCCTACGACAATAGTAGCAACTAGAAAATTATTTTCAAATTTGGTTTTGACGTATTTATCTCTACTAATATCGCGTAAAAATTTGACTTCTGATAACACTCCTTGGCTTTTCTTTTCCACAATTCCGACAATACAAACTATTTTATACCTGAAATAATACAAGGAAGTAAATGATAAATACATTTATTGAAAGTGCGATTCCTGACATCCTAAGATCAAAATACCGAACATTTTTGGTACCTCTATTATAGGTAAAACAGTTTGAAAAATAAAAATGTTATACACCGGGGCTCTGGAAAATAGGTTTTTAAGTATGTAGATGTCAGGATTACCCGATTACGTAACCATATAGCAATCTAGAACCACAGTTCAAGTTATTAAAATTTCAACTTTAAAATTGTACAACACGTGTTAGTTGAGAGTCAGAGTTATAACTGATATTTTAAAAAGGAATTTCGCTCTAGAAATAATTATTAATTTTAAAATAATTAAATTTTTTCACATTCTTAAAAAATAATCTGTGCATAGGCCGTTTGTTTTGTCCCCCATTATTATTGCTATAATGGCAGATAAGTTGAAGATTCAACTATATAATTGGGAATAGAGACTTGGGTTTTCTGGAAAAATGTTGAAAGATTGTATTAATTTTTTATCAACATAATAATATATTATGATCATTGATCATAAATATTAATACATCATAATGTATAATAAGTAATAACTATCTAGAATGTTTTTTAATAAACTTTCAATGGGGCCACCACTATTTGTCCAAGTCTTGTCGTTGCCTCAGCAACGAGATTACCTTTTTTGGCTCGCAACTTTTCTATTTGGCTAATTTAAAAAAAAAAGGTTTATTTGTTAAAATAAATAATTTAAAAATTGTAATGATCATATGCAACTCAACTACAACCGCTTTATATGTAGGGATACAAAGTTTCTAGTTAAATATTAGAAAGTAGAAAACTTAATATATTTTTATCAGATGCTTCATTGAACAAACAAATCAAACAAATACCATAGTTACTTATTGAAATTCAAAAACAATTATTTGCATATGCACTAAAATTGACTAAATTAACTATTCTGTTAATTTTTATTTTGAATTGGTAAGTTACTTAATCAAAATATCAAAAGATTTTACCTATCAAAATCCATATCCCGAATTTTATTTCTGACATTAAGTGAAATATTAATACAGGTTTGTATTGCTTCGTTTTGGTCGTACTTGGTTTCGTCGTTTAAATGGTTTTCAATTTCAGTTTTTAATACTACCTTGGCTAGGCGTTCGTCGAATGGTTTTTTCGAATCCATTCTGTACGTGTTCTCATATTTAATAATATTTTCCTGTATTTATATAATTCATTTGATTAGTTTTACAATCATCAACACGACATTTAATGATGTTTGCTTGTTATATATTACAGGCAACAGTTTATATATCAAATCAATTAATAGTTTTGTGCGAATCGTTTAGTATAGATACTGCTACTTTAGTAGGTACTAAAAGTATATAATTAGCAACTTAACTGCTATATGAGTATGCCGTGTGCATTTCGTCGAAATGAAAAGTTACTAATAACTTTTAGAGTTTATTATTTTATTTTATATTTATACATTATCATATTGTGTTAGATTGTAATTTAATGTAGGTGTTAGTCATTAGTCACATATATATATGATTATATTCCAAATTGCGTTCAGTCAATCAGCTATCAAAATTGTACCTTTTTAATAGCTCAATTGCGTCCACAGTGGTGTTTCTATTTAAATAATACATTGCTAACTTTGGATTATACATCTAGGTATCATATCTTAAGACAAACCTCGGGAATAAAGATAATTTTTAAGCGAATAAACTCAATAAAGTTTTGCCTCGTCCATACGACACGAACCTACTATTGTGTGGATATATAACTTAAAGTGGGTAGGTATACCTACCTATAATAGGTAAATGAAAAAATATTAAAATGTTTAATGTTGTAAACAGTTTAATACTCGTAATTAATATAACGATTGAAGAAAGATAAATAATAGTATATTTACATTTTACACTATAAATAAGACTGTAGGGATTTTAATTCAGTTACCTCGACTTTTATGTTGGGATGCACTCGGACGATATACATTCCAGAGAAAAAATTTAGAATATAATTAAAGAACATTTTGGAACGCATTCGGGTGATCTCATGGACTATAATAACGCAAATACAAAGAAGACTAGAAAAAGAATCTAGTTTTAGGTTGTGATTTAATATATTTTATGGATTCATTTAAGGTTTAAAATTATATTCATATGCCTAGGACAGTTTATAGTAAAATACGTGTAAAACAGATACCTAACAGATTATTTTTCAAAATCTAATAACGTCATTGAAAGCAAGAAGACGATAAACTTTTGGTTTCTCAACATGTGCGAAGTATTTTTTTTATGATTTCTGAGAATAATATATTTATTATTTGAATAATTTGTCATTGATCTTAATTATTAGAAAATTATTATTATCACATGTTACGTATATATTAACGTTTTTCGAAATAAGAAATTGATCATAAAATTAAATAAAACAAACTTTCAAACACGTCACTTTTTCTAGGGATAAATGGTAGAAACTAACGGATAAAGTACAAAAATATTCGTTGATAATATATATATAATAATATGTAATATCAACTATACTGCTAGATCGGCTCTATGGCATTTGTCATTGAGTAGTTTTTAGGATGAAAAAAAATCATAAAGAAACAAAATTAAGACCTACAAACTAAAGAGACTTCTATAACAGTTATAGAGTTATGATGTTATATAATTCAATTTTTTACTTCTGAAATAAGATCATCGATATCTTCCGCATCGATCTCTATCGGATAGAAAGATAAAATACTATCCTCTTCCTGTAGTTCATATATTTGTTCATCTAGTGATGGTTCACTATTAAACGACATTGTTATTTATTTCAAGAAGCCTTCTAATATTGATTTATTTTATTATATACTAGAAATGTTTTCTATCAAAAACTAACACAGTATTAATTAAGTAGTAACTTATATTTTTTTAGGACGAGTTGTTTATGTTTACATTATTGTTTACAAAATTGCCAGAGTACCTATTTAAAAGATGTTTGGTTGTTAAGCTATTACTAGTTTGAAATTATTTATTTTTTTAACTTAAAAATTTACTTAATTTTCTAATTAACTTTTAACTTAATTACTATTAGGTAACGATATCCATTGTAATAACTTGGCATTTACCAATTAATTTTAAATATAATACATTTGGAAATTAAAATCATTTTTACAATATTATATTATTTACCTATATAGGCTAGAACTGCAGTAGTTAAAAGGCTTAAATTGATTTATTAATAATCGTTTTTGTTTAATCGCGTTATATACAATATTTTAGATTCTGAGTGAAACGATGAATGTATTGGTTTTACAATGATGTGTGTTTTTTTTTTATTTTTTTTTGTGTCTGTCATCACGTTTTAGGACAGTAAAAGTGCTTGGATTTTCTTCAACAGTAGCTTTTCTGATAGGAAAGTGAATCTAGTTGGTACTTTGGGGGGGGGGGGCTCAAAGGAAATGAACGTATATACATGAAATATTCACTGGTTGTTTATATTTGCAATTTATATACACGATAACATTTTCAAAATATTTTGATTTATTTTGAACTGTTTAGGGACATTTTCATTTTCCGTTTTTTTTTTTAGTTTTTTTTCTAAAAATATCAATAAAATTTTATTTGTTGGTTGCGAAAGCTTGAAAATTTAATAGAAGGCTCCTAGTATATTGCTTCAAAGGCAGATGAAAAATATTAAAAATCCTTAGTCACAATTTTTTTTTATAAGCATTTAAAGTTTAAAAATTGACAAAATATGGAAAAATCACGAAAATTAGGAAAATTATTTTGAGTTAAGAATTCGTAAAAATTTTTCTTTTTAAATCTAAGATTTAAAAATGTAATACAAGATTCCTTATAAGATTATCTACCTTTATCAATAAAAAAATCTCTACCGGAATCTCTAACATTGGATATTCACTCGATTTCTCATGTAGCGACTTCCTTATTTTGTTGTAATTCAAAAACGAATAACTGTAGATACATGAAAATTTCACTGAATGTTTAAATTAGCATTTCCTATACACCATACAATTTTGAAATTATTTTGACTCTTTTTGAGCTGTTTACGGACATTTGCCGCTTTCAATTTTTTTTAGTTTTTTTTTCTATAAATATCAATAAAGTTTTATCTGTGGGGCCAAAAAAAGTAAAAATTTAATACAAGGCTCCTGATATATTGTTACAATACCAGTTGAAAAATATTAAAAATACATAGGCACAGTTTTTTTGTATAAGTATTTAAAGATCGAATTTTGACAAAATTTATCAAAACCTCGAAAATTATCAATCATTGTAATTAATAAATTATAAAATGTTCAGTTTTTATAGCTAAGGATTGCAAATTTAAAACAAAGGTTCTCATAAATAGTTCATACTGTAACCAAAAAATCTAAGAAATATATGAACACAGTTATTTTTTACAGACATTTTAAATTCATATTTGGACGAAATTACATATTAAAAAACCTAGAATAACTATTTTAGTTATTTTGTTGTGATTGAATAATATTATTCGTGGGTACTTGAAACTTCTAAAGAGTACTATTATATATCTATAATATATGATAGTATCACGGTTTTTGTTGATGTATAACGAGTTATAAGTACCTAATGGATATTGTAATATGATGAATTTGGAATTTATTATAGGTCAAATTTTGGTTTAGTACCATAGATATTATGTACCTTGATCTTATACCTTGACTGACATACCGTCTCCGCTCAGAATCGTTTTTCTTATACAATGATATTATATCTTTGAATTCAAATTAATATCATCCACTAAACAGTGACCCACTTGTAACCTACTGTACAGCAGAGCGACATCCACTTGCCCACCTTTTTTATTTTATAAATAACCATTTCTTGATTTAATCATTTAGTTTACACAAACGTATTATTACCTATTTGACTAAGCCGCTCAACAAGGAATAATATTAGGATGCTATTTAACAAAATGTTTTGTTATTATTTAAAATAATTAAGTTTGACGTATACTGTATTAAGGGGGTTGGAGCACACCGTATTTTTTGTAGTTTTAAACCAATAAGTGGAGGATTAGTTTATGTACTTCCCGATATCCCATTATTATTTTAAAAATATGTATGAACTCTTTATCTCCTTTTCTAGGTTACGTGGAAAACAGATTTTTGATTTTTGTATTCAATAAGGCTTAAAAAATATGTTAAAATTAAAAAAAATTATAAAAATATTTTTATTTTATACACTTACATTCAGTTTTAAAACATCAATTATTTTTCCTACATTACCTAGTAAAGGGAATGATGAGTTCTTACATATTTTTTAATTAATAATCGGACACCGGGATGTACATAAACTAATCTTCCGCTTATAGCTATTTTGTACAGTTTTTAACGGTTTTTTTTACGATAACACGATAATTGCCCAGATAATGGATTACACACACTAAGGTTCATTTACTACCTACCTAGTACCCATGCAATGACAAATATTTGCCAATAATATTTTTTCACAATTTCCTAAATTTTACTACTTAAAATATTCTACGCTCCAACCCCTTTAAGTTAATATATTTCTCTGCATTACGTATTTACGTTTATATTTTTAAAGTCATATTTAATGTTTGTTAACTGTTAATTTTAGGTTCTTAACGTTGATTTAACTTAACAGTCTAAAATGAAATTTATATAATATTATTTATATTTATTATATTATATTATATTATTTTTTATTTACTTTTCAACTTTTGCTTTTACACAACATGTAGTGGAAATGTAGAACAAACAGGATGGCATGCGAATCCAAAATAGGTTGGGAACCACTGAAACAATAATATGTATCTACTCATTCAATCAAAAAGGGTGTTTTATGACAGGTACTATACTATATCAGGAAGTTTAGGTATCTCCATAATGTGTATATCGTGTCAACATACATTTAACTTTAAATTAATTTACACCGCTGCTTGGTCACCCAAATGTCGAGTTAAGAAATTGGTGAATTTTACATTAGGACAATATATATATGCACATGCTTGCACTTTTATCTAGATATATAGGGTTATTTTTGTAATTTTTTAGGCATGTTTTCATGTTATATTTTGTATGATATACAGAGTGCGACAGGAAGACCTGACAAAAAAAAATGAAATGATGCTACTTAAACGTATGACAATTTTTTTTAAATTATATGATTAGTAAATAATTTAAGAAATATGCTCATGTCAGCAAATTCCCAAAAATAATATTTTGAAAATAGTTATTACGTTCCAAATAAAATATATTGATATTTTAAAAAATTCTAAGAAATAAACTATTTGACTTAGATAAATGATTTTACCATCAAAATTGTTCTTATAATCAGATTCACGAATTGGCTAATTCGAATCTATCCAAAACAATTTTAAATTTTAATTTTTAGAATTAAAAAATTAAAATAATTTTTTTTACACACTATAGGTACGTGTAGCACGCAAGTGACAATAAATTATAAAAAAAAAAGTTAAAAATATCGATTAAAACGAATCTGTCATCTGTAACGTCTTCCTGTTACACTCTGTATAATATACTTCGACGCCAATACATAACGTATATTGTTATAATGTACGAATTATAAATAATATGTACATACCTATCAGTGCGCTTTTCTGTCGAATAACTGTTGCCCCAGGGGTGGTATGGGCTGTGCTGGTAAGTACATATTATTATATAGTTGTTGTGATGTTTAGGCGTAGGCATATACATTCGCTTGGCAACCACGTGTGTAACTACCGTAAACACAATGTGCGGTACGTTTCTGGTTGCCTATAAATCGCCACGTTTCGTTCGTGTCCGCACGGATTTTGTTCCGGAAAATATTAGTGCGGAAAATCGCGGGCCGTCGAAATGTCCGAAGAAGACGTGATACCGGGTAAGGCAGCAGCTCTGCATATTGTGTGTGTAATATTATCGCATAAACAGCAACGATCGAATTTTTATATGCTCTTATTTAGGTACTATGGTCATTCGCAATCGAAAATAATATTATTATATACCTATAAGAGTTGCTCGAAATCCGCGAGTTACGAGATGCCAACGAGGATTACAATTTTTTCAGGTGTCACATATTTCATGTCCCTACCTATAATTGAATTACATACTATACAATGTATAATATATACGTCACATTATATACTAACCAGGCTTAGATATTTGGGAGATCTGATGTGGCCGATTTTTAAACAATAATACTTAAACATTATGTCGTAAATGTATACTTTTATAGACAAATCAAAACATAATTAATGCTGTGTAATAATTGTTGGTTCATTGTTGTTGAGTTATTTGAGTTATTCGTAATGGTTAAGTAAATTAATTTTAATCTTTTGTGAGAACAATTTTTTTCATATGCCTACAAAGATTATATCTGTTTTTCGCGGTAGAGCAAAAAATCGAAAAATTATAACATTGTCTGCACATTTGTTATTTTGTTTTTTTCATTAAGTAAGATTTAAACACGATAATAAAATACATCATTACAGTTAACGAGAATTATTTTTGTTTTTCACTTAAATTACCGGTGATTAAATCAATATTTTATATACCTAAGTCGAGTATGACCATAATTATAGGTATAAAATAAATTAAACTTTCGCAATATAACTATATTTTATTAAAAATCAATATTTTCATTAAATATAATATTTGTTTAGTACATAACATACAAATGTACATACTTACCTATAAAACGTCGAACGGGAAGTAGCAGAACACGTAATATTATTATTATGTAGTGTCCAACGTTTTATATAAAATAAAATAAATAAATGAAAAATGACGAGTAAACTTCATGATTACAATAGAATTATGAAACAGGTCGGTAAACTTCAGAAACTCAATTTAAAAACGACTTCATGAATTCCTATCGTGTGTCGTTTTGGTTCTTCACCACGTAACCTGCAGTGACAAATTAGAAAAATTATTTTATATACTTATATCTACTCTAATATCGTACGCCATGTAATTTATTTTATTTTACGTTATTAATTCCTAATACTGGTAAACGTTATAATAATAACACTGAAAGCGTTAAAATAATATTATGTTACACACGACTTTAGGGGTAGTGTACGTTTACGTGCTAGTGTCATCGGTGGTTTTTTATTCATCCCAAGGTAGAGAAACTAAATTCCTATTTACTTTGTGTCATAAAATTAAAATGTGAAATTTAAATCGGATTTCAGAAACAGGAGCTGTTTTCACGTATGGAAAAAGTAGTTTTGCAGACAACATTCCAAGTCACTTTTTCATCAGAAATGATCCAGTAATCGAAATCAGTTGCGGGGAAGAACATTCTGGAATTGTCTGCAGTAAGATTTCGCCATTTTGGGCGCCAAGCGATTTGTTGGCAAACATTTTTGTTTTCGTAAAAATATAATATCCAAGAACTAAATGTACATAATGTGCGACACAATTATGTCTACCGTCGTCCAATCTGCGTATGTACAAGGCGATCTATTGAAGTGTCAAAATTATAACTTTTTTGAACACACTTTTTTTACATGGTTTGATGTAATTTCAAAACAAATTTTTTTATAGTTTTCATTTTTTACTTATTTGATTAAGAACAATCGTTTTTAATTTCATATTCCTAAGGGGGAATATTTTTTGAAATATTTCGATACATATGAATAGGATTTTGAATGAATAGTTATAATTTATTAATCATTACTTTATCAGTCGCACATGGGTAGCCCTCAAAATGTTAGTCCACTTTTACTCCGGTCATCTAAACTTTAAGGCACCAAAGGTTAAAACTAAAATTCCAAAGAAAAAAGTATCTAGATACAAGATACTACATACAATTTTTAAATGTCAAAGAATACAAAATACAATATACAAATGATCTACTTGTCATCCCCATATGTATTTAAGTACAATATTTTTCTTCGGAATATAAAATCAAAATGTATGTTGTAATTTAAAAAAATAAAAACTTAAACATTTTAACGATATAAATTGTAAAAAATATACATTTAAAAAAAGTTAAAACTTTTAAAATAATGAATGTAAGCACTTATAATATGGTTCACCTTGTATATTATATCTGTACGTCCTAGCTTACGTACACCCAAGACTACGATAGTTAGTCTTCATATCACCATCCAGGGGTGCACTAAAAAAGGATTTTCCAAAATAAAATTCGTATTTTGAAGATAGGCTCATGCACAGTGATTTGTTGGCTCTCAATAAGAATATCTGTTATGTTTATGTTTTTATAATCGGATATGATTTTAGTCCCATATTTTAAATTCAGACAAAACCACCCAAATTACTGTGTTCAAAATATTGGTAGTTAACACTTATACTATAAATTATAGAGTTTAAAATAGGACAAATCCACTGGCATTATTTAATTTGTCAAGGATAACGGCATGAGCAGGGTTAGCTACCTAGTATTTATATAAACACGTAATACTATAGGGTTTAAAATATGAATATATTAATAATTATTATATTATATATATATATACTTTTGTTCTACTACTGTATATTATGTGCTATGTATAAATATTATATTATTTTAATAATAACTATCACTGATCACCCAACTTCCAACCGTATAATTTGAGTTAAATAATATTTTTTCCTAACTCGAAGACTCAGTCTACTCGAAATGTTTAAACCTGATGACGTTCGTAAAAAATTATTAAGTGATATTATAAGTTAGAAACTTATAATTGGGTCCCTGACCATCATGGGTATACTTACATGGGGTTTAACCCCCCACCCATTATTGGCAGTTTTTTACACGCCCGATTTTTGTATGCTGGTAGTCCTCCTACATATTATGTTCCTAGAAATTATCCACAACCCTCCCCCATCGAAAAATTCCTGAGAACACCACTGATGACCATTATAATATTATATTATAGTTTTCGCTTTTCAACAGGATTCGTATCGTGCACTTTTGTTTGTTTATCCATAGATATATCGTTTTCATAGACTGCGGTGTGTATTATATAATACTATACGTATGGCTCTCTTAATCGAGTTAATCGATATCTGAATAATTAATATTTATTAAGCGTCACTGTGTGTATTTTAAGATTATCGCTTTCATATAGGGCCATTATCCTCATGAATTATAACCAAAGTAATGACATCTACTTCTACTTATACAGTGTGTTCACGCTAAGAGGTACCACTAAATATTTCAGTTTGATGACTTTGTATTGAAATGGGGTTTTCGCTGAATGACAGATAGTACATAAATACACATTTTCAGATAAATTTCAAATTTTTAACTCTTTCGATACGCGAATGCGCGATACGACTTACTTTTTTTTTTAATAGCAACATCAACTTTTTTTTACATATTCGGATAGAGTATTTTTTTCTAAACAATTTATGTATGAAAAGTTTTTTTCTAATTACAAAATTGGCATATGAAATTTAACGATGAAGTTTAATATTTACGAGTAATAAATGTATAACGAACAGTAATTATTATACTGTCTTAATTACTGGCAAATGTTGTCAAAGTTGTTTTTACTATTTTATCTGTGTGCAAACAGGTATTTAACAATATTGGATATTAATAAGTAACAATAAGTTGAATTTAGTTTAGATTTTGTCAAAAAAATTACTCGTAAATATTAAATTTCTTCGTTATATTTCATAAGCCAATTTTGTAATTAGAAAAAAACTTATTATACATAAATTGTTTAGAAAAAAATACTCTATCCGAATATGTAAAAAAAAGTTGATGTTGCTATTAAAAAAAAAAGTAAGTTGTATTGCGCATTCGCATATCGATAGAGTTAAAAATTTGAAATTTATATATATAGTAAATTATATTTTTGACATAATATATTATTTTCGAAGGTAAGCAAAATATATTATTATACATATTTAAAATCATATACACTCTTAAACTTTAAGGTCTTAAATTGTTCATAAATGAAATTTTATGTTATTAGTTACCACATTTTAAAAACGCAAATTTTTAATCAATATATTTGATTACTCATTTTTTTACTCCACAAGATAAATATGATCGCGTGATAGCGATGAATTAATGGTTACTAAAAAAATATAATATAACAACGCAAAAAAAACACACTCACATACATTATTATTGAATACATTCTCATAGTATTTTGTTGTCAAATTATATTATGTGATTAAAAACTTGTTTTTTAGAAAACGGCAGAGTATTTTGTTTTGGAAAAAATAGTTTCGGACAACTTGGCCTAGGGCATACGGAAAATGTCTACAAGCCTAATTGTGTTAAAAGTATGGACTTATGAGTATTCGTCAGAACAATGAATATACCTAATTAAGAATATTTTTGTAGGTTTAAAACCAGATAAGGTGAAGCATATAGTTTGTGGACGGTCACACACAATTGTTTCAACAGGTAATTTGTATTAATATTATTTGATTGTTAGTATTTGTTACGTAGTCTTAACTAAGCACGCACTGAACATAAAAAAATAATTTAAAACATTAAAAAAGTTAAAGAATGTATCGATGGAAAAAGTTAAGACACAAATTTATAAACTAAAATAGTAAAATATGCATAATATCTATGCCTTCTGGTTGAAACCATACATAGGTACGTGTTATTAAACTACCTTCAATTCAAACTATATTTATTTTTTTTAATTCTAATATTTTCTTTGGTGTCCAAATATAGCATATAGTTATATTTTCCTGTACTAAAGTGATCATATTATTATAATATAATATCCTATCGAACTCTATTTCTCTCATATTTTAATGAATACGTTTAGCGTCTAAAACGCATTGTTTAGTTTTAAAAAATTCCCAAATTATTGTTACCTATTTATTTTAAAACAGACGAACGCAATAAACTAATTTTAAAGCAAAGTTAGTAATGCCAAAACGTACATGACGTTGAGACCTCGGATGGGTGACCGCAGTGGATTTATGTTTAGAAATATTAGTCATTTCATATAAATAATACCCACCGGACAAAGCTTTTTGTTATTTGTACGTACGCAGATGAGTAGATGACCTACAGCCGTGACACTTCGTAAACCAATTTGGCTGTAGTCGTTTCTATCGCATACAAACACTGTCATCAAAGTTTGTGACGGCTTAATACTAATACGTTTATTATTATAACATAATAATATGCTTGACGTGGAATTAAGTACTGTTTCTGTGTTTTGATGAATACAAAATGTGATATAATTGTTTATATACTTTGAAGTTTAAATTATATTCAAAGTATTTCACTTTTGTTTGTACATTGCATTTTTTTATTTTTTGCTATTGTATATTATAGGTAGGTAATACATATTGTATTATACAGAAATATGCTGCAAGTTGTGTAATTTTATATTAGAATAATAAAATATAAAGTCATTATAGCTATCTATATGAATCTACAAATTCTATTATAAGAAATCTAAAAACAAATAATGTAATAAAATTAAAAAAATTCTTGGATCTTAAAAATTGAAATGCTTATAAAAAAACATTAACTATGGTTTTTAAGATATTTTTTAAATGTAGTTTTTTAGAATAATTTAACTATTTATCAACTTATATTTGAGATCAACCTGATAATAGTTAAAAATATTTTATATATTTAGCGTTTTAAAATAAAATATTTCAAATCTATTATATTATATAGGTACACCAGCCAATACATAAAGTCGTAAACGATAGCACAGTATGATATGTTCTATACATATTAAGATAATCAGTAAAATACAATAAGTACCAGATAATGGGAAAACAATATGAACTACCTACAAGAAATAATATTCTTAGGCCACACTATATCATTACATTTTGAGTGTTAAAATAGTGTTGTTTTAGTTGAAATACTACGATAATTAATAAAAATATATGTGTATTAAATATATGTATCATATGATAGTCTTCAATTCGTTTTGCATTGTGAGAACTATTATCTTTTTGTTCGTCAGAGAATAACATCGTGTACGGATTTGGTGATAACAGCGACGGCCAACTAGGACAATCAGTGGCAGACGTGACCCACAGCGATGTGCCCATCGAAGTCACCCGCTTCAACGATAAGAATATCATTCAATTATCCGCTGGATCGTATCACACGGCTGTCCTCTTAGGTCTTAATTGTTTTGCATAATAATAATAGTACAATTAGATATATATATCGATGAATAGGTGGACATAGGATTTTATCTATAGACATATTAATATATGGACTGTGCGTCCCCAATATTATTGTCATACGACTCCCAACAGAGTTAGAAAGATATACATAGTCAAAACCTGTGCATATAATACCTGTGTCTATGCTATCTTTTTCTAAACGCTTTGTTATCCTTGTTGTTAAACTCCTTTCTCTCTGTAGCTATATTAATGGATATAGCTGGAGCCTGGATGTATCTTTGTTATCGGTCCCCGTTCCTGTATATAGGCGTATGCCGTATTGCGGTTTCCGGTTGGATCATTAAATACTATAGGTATTAGGTACCATTATCCACTTAGACCCCCCGTCCAAAAAACTAAATCCTAAAAGTGATTTCAAAAGTTATTTGTAAAACTTATTAAGATTCCCATATAAATTATTACTGCCCACAGTGAGTATTATAATGTATTCAAAACCCTTAACCACAATAGAGGCCGATAATAGGTCTTTCCAGTGATTGAGTCCTCCTACGAAGGGTACTAGATATCGTTCTCTAACAGAAAACCGTATTTTTGTTCTCGTCTTCGGCACCCATCAGAAAACGGCGACGTTTACGTCTGGGGATCGAACAGCGACAGACAACTGGGACTGAACTCGGTGGAAGAGGATTCGGTCAACGTCAGTGTGCCGACCATCGTGCCGATCGCCCTGCCCGTTTTGTACGTATCTTGCGGGCACACTCACACCGCATTCGTCACCAGTAAGTAATAATTCATACCTAGTAAGGCATTTTTCTTTTGATACCCCACCATCGACTATTAAATGGAAACCTGTATTATTTTTAATTGTTTCTCACAACTCGTGCAAAAAAATATCACTGAGGTTTTTTCATACATACACTTCGATCGAATAGTTTTAATTTTTTTTATTTATACGCATTTAAAGTTCAGACAAGAGAAGTGGTGCATTACAAATGCTGTGGAGTACAGTTATAGACTTGTAGGTGACGCGCGAAATCTCGAAAATGGTGCTATAAAATTATAAAACCATATTATTATAGCTCCGGGAGTAAAAGAGACTTGGGTGTGTCTCCCTATTGAGTATGCGGGGTGATAATTATAAATTCAGAGGGCTATTGTATTACACTTTCGATCATCCCCCTACTGGCACCACCGTTTTGGTTAGTCATTTACAATCTTTACTTATAGTAGCATATGATAAGTAAATTATACGAACTAGTGACGTATCCAGGCGGAGGGGGGTGTTTTGAGTGTTAAAAAACCTCCCATGTATTCCGTTATGCCATATTCACACACTACCACGGTTTAAGATAAACTTTATCTTAACTAGTGCACACGGTGTCGTATTATTGCACTCGTGCAGATAATATTTACACTACACCAGTAGTAATATTTTTTTAGCCTTCTAGTATTACTTCCTGGGATGGTTAGAGTGGATAGTTGGGATATAAGAGGATTTTTGTGATTTGTAAGTTTGTTGTAAAAACTATTATAGCATTGGTGGACTAGCTTTTTGAGTTTGGGGATTTGTAGTTGATTGTGAATAGATAAGTGTATAATTTGTTTTTGATTCTAAGTTTGAACTTAATGATTGGGCGGAGAAAGTGAAGGAATGACAACAATTGTTATATATAAAAATAATGATGCCCTATAATAGTTTTACCCTAATAAAATTGTCGGTAAATTTACGTAAAGTTTTTTCATAAGTATTAGTGTCTAGTATTTTTATTTAATACATTTTAAATTCAATAATAACATTTTTGGAATTCGCATTAAATAAATAATAATATTTTCGTAACATCGTAAACAGTGTTGGTATAGTGGATATATTTATATGTTAAATATTATATGAACATGCATATTATTATTTTAGTATTATCTTAGTTTACATTTTTAAAAATATTGTGACACATCTATCTGTACTTGTGAACCAAATATTATTAATAAAATGTTATTGCTTACATTAAAACGATTGAAATGAGGAATCACTCAATTTTACGAAAGGTAAACAAAATATCGGTAAAATTAACGTACATTTACCTTAGTGGCTAGTGGTATAGTTTACAGAGCTCCCGTCCCTAATTAATTATAATACATTTATTATAAATGTATATTCGCTATTATGTTTGTTATTAATATATATTACAATTATTGCCATAATATATATTATTATAACTGTGACGGTTTTCAGGAATCGGAGACTTGTATACGTGCGGTGATAGAGAGTATGGAAAACTTGGCCACGGCTTGTGGTCACTGAGCCGGGTCGACACGACCGAAAAGATCGTAAGAGTCGCTTGCGGGGCTAACCACACGATCGCATTGAACGGTAAATAAAATCACCACTACTGACCGTACACAAATCGTCCATATTACTACAACATAGTACTACTTAGATCGAAATAAAATATAACACACGTTAATAATACCTACACTAATTATACACACAAACGCTTATTTTAATAATTTTAATAATATAGAAATAAAATGTTTCAATGTCAGACTAACCTTATTGACTTATAGACGCGGGAAAAGTGTTCGTTTGCGGTAACAACGACTGTGGACAAATAGGTCTGCGAAACGTCACATCGCAAGGTCATCTGTACCCTTGCCCCATTACCAACGAACCGATAGTTCAGATTGTGTGCGGCCAGAGCCACAGTGCTTTTATTACCGGTAAATAATTTATACTCACATATTATTACTTACCTATTCAGGGAAAAAGGTTGTGCTTGGATATAAATAAAGTTTTTCTACCCATTGTTGTATTTTTGTACTTTCAATATACCGTATGCAGTGTTGCGATTGCGGAGTCTCTTGGCATATTAAGCACATTTGTTTTGTATTTGAAGTCTAAATTTTTATGAAATTGGATATTGAATCGAAAATATGAATCACACAGCATTGAGACTTTCTGACATTTCCTAAGTTTAATGTATTATTCTTTCTATACACAATAATATTTAAACTAATTTCACGCTATTCATACCACAAACTTATAGTCTACTATGGCACCTCGAGTTATACGTGATATTTTGGCAAAACTCAGTTGAACCTACCAAATTAAGAATATAATATTATAATATAAAAAAAACTATCCTTCGATGCTAATCCATCCGACCTTCTCTTAAAATCGTTTTTCATATACCTACAAATATACAATTAATCATTAATTTAACATATCCATTAGTCATTACTCATTACAGTGGCCTACTCAATAAAAAGTTACAGTTGAAATCTATTATTTTTATATTATTTTGTTAATATAAACAGTCAAGGCCCTTAGCAATTAAAGTAACAATAGGAACAAATAACAAAATTGTTATAACAATATTGGCATGAATATTAAGAATAGAAATACACAAGAAAAAGTTGTAACAGGTACAAAAGATAACAAACAAAATTTACAAGATAGGTCATATACTCATATCCCGTAGATACGTTTAAGTCAAATGGTATCAGTGGACAATATTATTTATAGAGCAGTTACAGTTTCCCAGTTTTTTTTTCGCAAGTGTGAAGTTATAAGAAATAAGTGTAAGAACATTTGTATTTTCAACTGACTATAAAAAAATAAATAAACTTACAGTGTGCAGATGCTACAATACGTTGACTTGAATAAGCCATACATTTTCTTAATATCATTTTAATTATTATTAAGTACATATTGTGACTATTTGAGCTAAACTATTTTAAAAATTGAATTTTGAACAAATTTTATATATCAGTTAAATCAATGGTGTATTCTATAGGGTACTTACTATTCAAGTACTACTAATATACCTACTAGTGGTTACGAATTATTTAAGAATTAAAACGACTAAATAATCGTCTGTTGATTAGGAGTCCCACGATCTCCAATCCTCTATTATTGAGCCACTATTACATGCAAAAATATACACTAGACAATGTCGATAGTTCTTAAAATATTATGTAACTAAGTGTTGTACGTTTTTTTGCATTTAGTCACTTTATGTTGTATATTATAACTATTGTAATCTAATATTTTTTTAATTATCGTCTCAGCAAGTGGAAAACTATTTATGTGTGGCGACGGAAAATACGGAAAGCTCGGCATAGACGTCAATCAAATAACAACTCCGACGCTCGTGTTGGCGTTCGTAGACAAAAATTTAAACGTACAGATGGTATGTTCTTCATTATTATCCATTAAAAAATATTTTAAATATTACTATCTAGAGATTAGATTGTATTAGGTACATTTTTTTATAGGTCAGTTGTGGAGGAAATCATACTTTAGTTCACGCCGAGCCCCTCGACACGACTCACGTTAACAATAGCTTACAACAACTAAATCGTCTACTCATTGCCTCCATTAAGGGTTGTGAAAAGATAATCGAAGATCGAAAAGAGAATATTGAACCATTTACATCGATTACTCCAGCCAAAGATAACGAACCGGAAGTATTGAACATAGCCAAAGAAAGCGGTGTAAAAGTAATGCTATACCATTATACGGTATATACCTATTACCTATGCTAAACGACTATCATTTATTCCCGATAATTATGTACAGTATTGTTTGTTTTATTAAAATTATCAGGAAATTAACACAAATTTGATCGATCAAGTTAATGAGGATAAAAAAAAATCATTCAAAGATAAGATACCAAGTAAACTATCTATATTCCTATATTGTTATAATTACATAATATATTTTTACAATAGAGTACATTTTATTGTTTACCAGCTGATCCTGTGCACTTCGTTGCCCATTGTAAATCCCAAAGCTTTATGAAGAAAATGTTTTTTTTTATATAATATAACGGTTACCGTAACAACAATTTTAAACCAATGACGACCAATAATTATTATTATAGCTTTGAATTCCACGGCAACCATTTATAAACAAAAATGTCCATAGGAAATCTCAAAATCCCTGTTTGAGCACCTCCCGGGGTTGGTTCTCTCCCTTTTTAAATTAGCCTATCTTCTGCCCAGAGGTCTTAATCCATCTATATATTATATAAAAATATCTGATCCCTTGCACTTCGTTGCTCATTAAAATTGCCAACTCTATATGAATAATATGTTTTACTTATCACCATGGCAACTATTTATATACAAAACATTCCATCGGAAATTTAAAAATAAATATAATTGGTTGCCTTGGTAATATGGAGACACACACGGACGGAAATCTCCAAATAATATATCTATGGTTGCATTAGTAATATGAACACACACAGACAGACACACAGACACCTGACACACGTACATTCATTTTTATATATTCATAGATTTTGATTTTAAATTGATATTTTGATGAGTAGTTGATTTATAAGTAGTAAAGTGTCAAGCAGAGATTGGGGGGGGCGTTGGGGCGCCTAAGCCCCCCCCCAATATTGAAAGCCCCCCACCAAAAATTATTGAATATTTTTTAAAGCCACCACTTCTTATTTTTTAAAGAAAGATTCAAGCTCCCTTCCTAAAATGCAATCAAATCTCCGCATATACAAACAATATTTTGTTTCTGACTAGGAAATTAAAAATGTATGTTGTCGTTCAAACTTCAAATAATTAAAGATTTTACACTAAAATAATAATAAAAAAAAAAATTATCATAATAACGCTCGTCGCTCTTTTCACTGACCAGCGATTTCAGACTGCTTTTATTATTTAGCAATGGTTTTAGTGGGAAACATTTGATATTAAAAGTTAATCCTTATACTATAGGTATCTTAATGCTTACACTATTATATTATTAATATTAAAGCTATACCAAGTGTACATAATCAAACATTAAAATATTAATATTTTTGTAGCGGAAATAAAAATCTCAAATTTAGAAGATGAATCGGTAGAAAAAGAAGAGAAAAATGCAAACATGTTGGTTATTAATGAGAAAACCGAAAAAAAAGTAGTAAATAAATCAAAATATCCTAGAAACGAGAGAGTACGGGTAAGTTAAATGGCTTTAAGCCAAGTGAAATTCATATTAAATTTTAATTGATACCTAACATCATTAACTATTTTTTATTTCAGTCTCGGATGTGTATAGTCATTTAAAACAGATTTAATATAATATTATGATACTTAAACTTACAATCTTATTATATATATTATTTGAATTATATTACTTAGACAATTTTTAGTTTTATGTATCTACAGTTTTAATATAAACTTATATGAAATATAACTTATGTGCAATATTATTTACATTACGTGTGTCTAATCTCATTATTAAATTAAGATTTACATAGTATTATTATTTTTATTCAGACACACTTTAATCATTATTAAATTGAGTGAAGGTCATTGACTGGTTTATTTTAATTTTTTCAATATTGCTGTAAATAGTTTTAAGCTTAATGTCGAACTGTAGATAATAGATATAAATATATTATAGTGTTATATCTATCAATTTTAAAAACATTCTTCTCAAAATATGTTAATCCGCGCAATCTATTCGGGTGTACGTGTGTCGTATAGAAAGTAAAAAACAGTAATCATGCTGTAAATTGCAGCTTCGTATGAATTTGCAAGAATTATGGATGGCAACATATCGTTTAGCAGTGTGCCATCGGAAATGCTTAACGAGAAAATGGACAACTCGGCCGGGCAGTCTAAAATGCTGGTGTATAATTGTTTATTACAAATAAAATGTATAGGTAACAAAATAAACGATTGACATTTTTGAAATTTTCATTTCACCTTACTATAAATTGTCAAATCATATCTTGTCATGACCCATATGATATTTCGAGTAAGTAATATGCTATATTATCATAAAGAAATAAATCTTCCGAAAAAATTGTCTAAGTACCTAATGTTTTTATCATTTTAATCAACTAATCTAAGTTCTGACTATGATACATTTTTTTTTTTTTGAGATTTCTGATTTATAACTTTTATGACCACCCTTGTTTTTTTCCCCTTGAACAACGCCTAGTTAGCGCATCCCTGCTCTTATTACCTACATCAAATTTGTAGACAACCTGCACTAAAATAAATGTATTATAATATGTTAAATATGTACTAATATTACATTTTTAAGCTATTAAAAAACCATTATTTCGTTAAATCTCTCCCCTTCTTGTACCTATAAGGCTTTAACCACGATTAAGGATAAATAAACTCATGGCTGGTAATTGGTGTGCTTAAGATATTTAGATGCAGGTAATCTGGAAACGGTATAATATGTAGCTTATGTTTAATATATCTAAGCGACATAATTCATAGTTTTCAGGAGAGCCAAAAAACTTTTTTTCGTGATATTTTTTTTTCTAGGTATGTAATAACTTTGTAAAGGAAGAATATGAAATGTTTTCATTGAATATTTTTTTTTTGTTTTTATGTCCTTAATGTTTATACATATTTTTAATTATCGTTTGGTTATTATTTACGTGTATACGGCAATTTGAATAAGTTTGTTACTTAATTTAACTGATGATTCTAATACATTTATCCCCATTATTTTATTAATTTTATTAGTTATTTTTATTTGAGACCAAAAAAATAATATTATAATATCACATGTGCTTCAAAATAAGATTTAGGTACACAAATATTTTCTGCGAAAAAAAAATATGAAACTAGATCAAAATAACGTAAAAAAAAAATGTATCCTTTAATACTAATTTAATAACAATAACATAAAAAGTTACTTTTTCTCACAATAATATATTAATATGACACTTGATATTGTACTTATATACTATTAAACAATGGTTAAAATAAAATAAAACACCTTAAGTTTTTAATGATTAAATGATTAATATAAACAATTATTATTCTTTTGAATGGGTAAATAAAATAAATTACTTGATCTGAGTCTTCTATGTCAGTCTATTGTAGAAGTATCACTTATATTTTGATTTGATTTCATACCTAAATATTCTTCGTGGAATGGGTTTGGTATGATGCGGCATTGATGCCATCGATACACAATTTTAAAAGGTTACTTCGTTTTTCGTTTGAAATTTTTAAACTCTTCCTGTATAACTGTAAGTTATACAAAACTTGTTTGAAACAAATGTATTAAAATAAATCATTCAGCCATGATTACAGTGATGAGTGATGACTGATGACAAAAGTCCAAAACCATCAAGTCACGTCGTCTTATTAAGGCGTTAGCTATAAACATTATGTTTACTATAATTAGCTATAATCACCTAAGAATCTAATATCACTTTTCGCAGGCGTGACAATTATATGTATATATGCTATATACGTGTGCTGATTATTAGCTGAACGCCTAAACCCAACAATATTAAGTAGTTGTTGAAGTTTTTGTTACTGGGAATTATCCATATAAGTATTAATTATTATAATATATGAATTGATGCCTACCTATATTAATATGTCATGTCCCGATTGGAAGATTATTTGTAGCACTTCAACTAGAAAAAATATAGGCGCGAATATAAAATTTACTATAAAAACCCACATCATGGTAAGACCAATACATCTTTGCCACTCTGCAAAATCTAAAAGACAAAAAATAATTTATTTATCTGCATTTTTTAAGCTTGTAGATTATTTTATTTTTATTTATTTTTATTCATTACATCTGTGCAGGTTAGTGTTCGTGTACAATTTGATTATTTTTGCGATTCATTCATGTCTTAGTTACCTAACATATTATATTTAGATAACTTTAATTAAATCTTAAAAACGAATTTATTTTACATACAAACTAACTAATTTAAATAATATCATTACAATAAATAAAAATAATTTACTGTCAAGACAACATGGAAACTTATTATCCATCGATGCTGAATGAATTATAATTTTGATGAAATGAAACTTGCTATTTACTTTGTGTCATATAATACTAAACATTATGTAATTGCGCCATCTTGTACCTATACAAAAATTTTAATTAGCGCCATTATTTACCTTATTAAAATTAAACAATAAACAATTATTTTTTAACAGATTAATACAGGTATTATATTTTTAATTAAGAATTAAATTAAAAGATTAATCAACTTAATTTTAATAGTTATATTCTGGAAAATTATTAAAATATATCTACATAAATCAGGTAAAATTTCGGTTAGTAATAATACATATAAAAATCGGTAATATTATAATTTCCTTTGTCCAATAAATATTGTTTTCATGTTATTCATGTATTACATGCCAAAACTAATACATATAGGTAGTACTAATAGTAATAGGTACTTAGCTTACTCACTTTTTTTTTATACTTGTAACATAAATACGGAACTAAGTTTTTTCTATCAATTCACTTTTGCCAGTAGTCTTGATATATATTTATTGAAATTTATCAGATGGTAAATTAAAACAATTGAAGTTGAAAGTGTAACGCAGATTAAATATTATTCCAATTGGTTTTTTTTTTTCGTGGCGCAAATTACCAAAATTAATTTTTAGATGTGGCGCAGTATACGCACTTAAATGTAGCTATAGGTGGCCGAAATTACAAGTAATAAAATTGGCGCAAAATACCATACCCCAAGTGAATTAAATACGAAAATTGAAAATCCCATTCTTCCTGAATAATGTTATGTTTTTAATTTTAACTATTTAAATTGATTTAGTTCAAACGTTAAAAAAAATTAACTACTATAAAATATAGTAAATGGTTAATACTACTATATTTCCAAACAAAAAGAAACGATAACACGTGATGTAATATTATAAGAATTACTTATCAAAAATATTTTCCATTACATTTTTGTTACTTGGAAATAGTTGAAACAATAGTTACTTATATTAATATCTAACACTGTCTGCATGACCATAACAAATATAAACGTGACATTTCTCACATTTTGGAATTTGAGATAAGTATTATTATTTTTTTTTTATTTTGATTCTAAGTATACCTATTCTTCACTTATTAGTTATCAGTAGCAGACATCAGTCGACAATCGATACCCTGCAGTTTAGTAAGGTGTTTAGTATACGACATAGACGATTTGGAAGTAGCCATTTGGACTTGGAAAAAATTGTACGTAAAATAAAAAAAATAAATCAATCAATAAAAATATAAGTAGTAAAAATAATAGTTAGACATACAGTTATTTAGATATATTATTTATATTTATTATAATTCGTCAAAAATTAAAATATAATTATATCATAAACAGTAGTTGTTCCTCATATTATTTATATTTAATTTAATGGTACAATAAAATTTTAATCAAAATATTATGATTCATAATATTAATGAAGTGAAACATTTTAGGTGATTCCGTGTAAAATTATAAAATTCGGTAATAGGTAATATTCAGTAATAACCTATATTAAATATTAGATACGATACGATACGATACGATACCTTTATTGTTGTATTATGAACAATTTTATTGGTTTTATAGTTTATATATAAACCAGAACTACAATAAATTTTTTTACGTATAATCACCCTAAATATTTAATTTAATTTCAATTAATATTAAATTATTAATTTTTTTAATTTTTTAATATTTTTTTTTATATTGTTTTTTAATTTTTATTATGATTTATGTATTATAGATTTAATAATTATTTTTGACGTCCAATTGTCCCCACGTCAGCTACGTCTAAACGGCCACGCACAAAAGTCCAAAAATGGTTTAATTTTCTTTGTCAAAACAAACTGTAATAAGTCTATAATCATATTACAATACAGCTTTTGAAACAACTATCATTTGAAACTACAACGGAGAACAATATTAGCATCAATAAGTAAGTAATAATATTTTTACTACACATACCTATTAAATATTAGTTTTTGCTACATAATTTATTCTTTTTATGAATAATCCCCCCATATTATAATTGAAATAGGTATATTTTCATTGCATTATCGTAATGATTAAACACTTAATTAATTTTGATATTAAGATAAATAATAATAATAATATGTACATTACTATTTTTTCACATTAAATTTAAATTTGAGAAAAACAATATTATCAAAACAATGAAATTTAAATATTTAAATATAATTAATACTTTAAGAACAGTATGATTTTAGATTCCGAGAGGAGTGATGATTGTATTGTTTTTACAATGATGTGTGTGTTTTTTTTTAAATTTTTTGTCTTTGT